TTTTTTTTGAGACGAAGTCTCACTCTATTGCCCAAGCTGAGTGCAGTGATGTGATCTCGGCTCACTGCAACTTCCACCTCTCGGGTTAAAGCAATTCTCCTGCCTCGGTCTCCCAAGTGGCTGGGACTACAGGCATGCACCACCATGCCCAGCTAATTTTTTGTATTTTTAGTAGAGATGGGGCTTCACTATGTTGGCCAAACTGCTCTTGAATTCCTGACCTCGTGATCCGCCCGCCTTAGCCTCCCAAAGTGCTGGGATTACAGATGTGAGCCACTGCACTTGACTGTGTTGATTTTTCTTATCTCCTGCCCTCCCTCTCCAAAAGAAAATACATAAATTAAACTAGCAACTAAGAGGGATAAGTTAGACCTAGCATTACCACTAGCCCAGTGCTCTTTGAGAGAATCACATTGCTTTGTGTCATTCTAGGTGGCCCCAGCAGATGGCTTCTCTGATCTTGCCATGCAAGTAATGACATCTCCATCTAAGAACTACATTCTCTCTGTGATCAGTGGGAGCATCTGTATATTGTTCCTGATTGGCCTGATGTGTGGACGGATCACCAAGCGAGTGACACGAGAGCTCAAGGACAGGTAGAGCCACCTTGACCACCAAAGGAACTACCTATCCAGTGCCCAGTTTGTACAGTCCTCCTGTATAGCGTCCCCACTCACCTCGCTCTTCTCAGAGGTGACACCAACACCCGTGTTAGAGCATCAGCAGGTATCCACTGCGTTGTCCCGTCCAACCTCTACTCATGTCCATGGTGTCCTCCTCGTCCTCACCGTTCGTGCAGCAGCAGCAGCTGGCCGCTGGGGTTCCTGCCTTTGTTGGCAAACTTGGGTTTACCTGCCTGTAGACAAGTCTCTCTCGTACCAACAGAACTACCAGTACTTCCAGAAACAACTCACCTGACCTGCAACTCAAAGGCTTTTTTTAAGAAAACCACCAAAACAAAAAAATTTTTTAAGAAAAAAACGTATATAGTAACGCATCTCCTCCAGGCTTCATTTGGGCAATGGGGTTATTTCTTTCATATGACTGTGTAAAACCAAGACAGAACTTAGAGGGGAAGCACTCCACCCAGTGTGCCATGACTGAGGTGTCTTGTTCCTGTCTCAGAAGCACCTTGGGGCTGAACCAGGGCTATGGTCTTCACCAAGGAGTGGGTGGGCAGCCACTCCCTAGGCTGTGTGGGTCCTGCTTTCTTCTGCTGAGAAGGTGACGCTTTCCAGTTTCTACCCTAATCAGCCGTTGCCAGCCACAGCCCCAAGGCCATGGGTATTCTATGGTCTCCTCACCTCATTAAAGCAAAGCATGAGCCTCCCTAGACAAGGGCAGCTGGGGAGGGGAAGGGACCGGAAGTTTGTGAAGTTGGACAGTCCACGCATCTGCACAGAGAGGCTGGATTCTGAGTCCCTGAGTCCCCAGGCAGCAGGATCCCAGGAACCTTCCTCCTCCAGAGTAGCACAGGACTCAGCTTCCTCTGGACCGGCCCTGCTCAGGCTGCAGTCACTCCAGAAGCTCTGTCCTTCACCGGGAGGCTGGACTGTGGTGGGAGGGGTCCTTGAAGACGGGTGTGGGGAGCAGCAGGGCAGGAAGCAGGAGCCAGAAGTTTGACTCACTTTGCTTTATTTTTCAGGCTACAATACCGGTCAGAGACAATGGCTTATAAAGGTTTAGTGTGGTCTCAGGATGTGACTGGTAGTCCAGCCTGACCTTTCTACACACTCCAGACAAACTTCCCAGACAAGCTCCTTTGTGCCTCCGCGTGGAGAGGGTGTGGAAAGTTATCACATTAAAAGATGGAGGATTTGCTCCGTTTTTTTTCTTTCTGTCCGTTTGCTGCGTGTACCCACTCTAGTAGGCATTGGCTAAATGTTGTCTTTTGGTGATTCATCAACCTTTGCAGGATATGGGCGTTATAGAAGCAGTATTCTTGGCCTCATTCCTCCAGTGTGGAGGTGCCAAGTCGGGGGTGTGAGAGGGAGGCGTCCAGGCGTCATGGTTCAGCCTGGCACACCTTTGGTTGAGTTTGGGGCATGAAATCACAGTGGCTGCACAAGAAAGCAGTGTGTACAGTAGGAGATATATTTGTATAATATATATTTTGTTAACCTGTTAGATGTCCACAAAGTATTATAAATCACGTGCCTAAAACTGTCCACGTAGACTAAGGCCCACCCTTGGCGCCCTCCCCTCCCCGCCTCTGCTCTACACGGTCGGCGCACGCTGCAGGACCCGAGCGACACTCATCTTCCCCGAAGGGTGTTCAGTACAAAGTGTGTCAGTTTGTGGATGCGTTGATCCAAGTTACTCCTTGACTAACCTGACTGACATATATTTGAATACTGTGGTTTTCTTTCTTTTTTTCCTATTTTGCTGCCCTTCCTGGAGGCAGTGGGTTCCAGAAGCCAACTGTCTGTCTTCCTGCCAAGTCATCAAGGGAAGCTGCTAAGCTGCTTAGTCTCCTCGGTCCTGCTCGTAGGATCTTCCTGATTGTCCACAGCTATCTGGGATGCTTCAGCCTCCTAAAACTGGAAGCGTGGGGTGCGAGCAGCACACCCCTTCTCCCACCACTGCCAACCGGAGTGAACGGCCAAGAGTTCTCTACAGGTTCCCCTGGGGGCTGGGGGCTGCTGAGGCTAATATCAAGAATCAGGAATGTCATGTATATGCAGGTTCCCATGGACGTGTCTGGTGTGGTTTACAGGTAGGATGAATGCCCCCCGTTTGACTGGGTGGGGTGTTCTTCGTCTCTGCACTCTCCTTTCCAGTGTGCGTAAACCCTTATACTTCTCATCGTCTTGATATTTGTGTTCTTTCCAAATTGGGAGAAAATCCCATTTGTCATCTGCAGATTTGGAAGTTTGATGAGGAATTTGGTCCTTGAAACATTTGTCATCTTTAGAAATGGTCAGAATAGAAAAGATAGCTCTGCCAGTATCTTCAGTTGCTTATTACAAGAAAGTCTTTCATCATCCTACTTGGAGTGTTTTCTGGTGACTGGCTCTTGAGAGGCCCAGGCAGGACCCTGAGCAAGTTTTTCTAAGTTCCAAAGCCAACGAAATCTGAACTGGCTGCACTCATCGAGTCCCTCATTTGGCAAAACAAAACAGGGCCGGGGCACCGCTGGTTCCTGGCTTCATAGGTCAGTCATTTGGCTGAGACTGCTCAAGAAGAGTGACCACGATCTTTCTGTGGATGGGAGTGGGTGATGGACTCTGGCCTCTATCTCCTCCCTGATGTCGAGCCCGTGAACAGTAATAGAAGGAGAGGGCAGGGGTGTTGCCAAGGCTAAGGCTTCCGGTACTTGCTGACAGTTACAGCAGCTGGGTCGCTGTCATCTGGACTTGCCCTTTTCTCAGCAGCTCTTAGACACAGTGTGCTCCCAAGCCCTCTAGAGGCACCTGGAGCCTGGGCTGCCTGGCTGGAGGCACTGGAGTAGTGAAGGTGAGCTGTGTGGGCAAACTATTAAGAACAAGATGAATTGTTCCCAGTGGAGCTTCTCCCACAGAAGGGGATCTGTGTGAGGCCTTCATCTGGATACATGCTGGACTTCTGCTGCTATTGCTGCTGTCCCTAGACAAGCCTGCTAGCAAGAAGCACCAGCAGGGGAGCCGTGCATGCCATAGGCTTGGGATCACTCCAGGGAAAGTGATCTTCCCCGCGGCTCCCACTCCCAGCTCTAGTTCTGAACCAGTACATCCTCGGAAGCTGGGAGGGTTCCAGGGTGGCCGGTGAGCTAGTCTTCAGTGAGCAGGTGTTGACTTGAACACATTGCAGGCCTTTGGCTGTCTCATGCTGTGCTTACTCTTCTTGGGAACAGTGAGCCACTCAGCTGGCTGGGGTGGAGACGCATCCTGGTGAAGGGACAGCTTTCCCTGAAGATGCCACAGAAAGCTACTGTCTGATTTTATTTGTTCTGTTTCCTGAGATCAACTAACAGAGGAGTCCGACGGTGAGGGTGTCTACATTCATTCATGTTTTACGTTTTATCAAGGCAGATTGGAAAGGGAATTATGTGGCTGACTTCTGTTGGACTTCCCAAGAGAAGATTCTCTTCTTAGGTCATTGTGGCTCCTAGAAATGTCTCCTGTCCTCACAGCCTCCAGGCCTGTGGTATGACTTCTGCCCCGAAGTTTCTACTACAGTGAGTCATCTGGGGAGAGGAGGTTGCTTCCCTGAAAAGAGGCCTTCCCTTCCTGTTTCCTCCCCTACCTCCTCAAAACATACTGTAAGTCAAAACTTAATCTAAGGAGAAAGAAGCTGGATCAGGAACCTCAGAAGTCAGCCACAGTCAGCCTAAATTTTGGCTATAAAAGCAGAAGAAGAATATGGGTAGTTGGGTTTTTTTTTTTTTTTTTTTT